AATATGGTTTTTAAATGCTTTATGTGCTTTGACCTTGTCGTACCACAAATATGCATGCCACCCAAAAAAATTGTTAAAACCTTCTAAATCCAAAATGTCTGTGTTCTCAAGGAGCAGCCAATCTTTCAACCAGCAGAATGCTGCTGATTCATAGTAAAGTTTAAGGTCTGGCAGGGCAAATCCACCCCTTTCCTTTGCATCAGTTAATATCTTAAATTTTATTCTGGGCTTCTTGCCCTGCCAGATAATCTAGAAATATCTCTCTGCCACTATCATGGGGATTGGGGTTGCTTGTGTGTAAACCTCCACCTGCTCCAAACTGCGTGAGGCGGTTGCGTTTCCCCCCCGGCTGAGCAGCCCCCCTTGGGCACGACTGCTTCAGTCACTGGCAGAATCCGTCAGTGGGCGTTTCCTAAACTTCTTCCAACATAAGAATTCCTTCACGGACACCCTCCTTCTCGCCTCTCTGCGCGGAAGCCTTCTGCGCAGAGTGGGCGTTCCCACTGGTGGTCCTCCACTCTCTTCACTGACCTCACTTGAAGAGTCTCGGAGCCTCCCCTCCGAAGTGCTCTCAATCCCTTCTTTCTTCCTAGTGTCACCTTGGCTTTCTTCCCCAGCGGAAGCCCTCTCTACCCCTGTACTGGTTCCCTCTCCGGCATCATTGCGGAGCCTAGCCTCTCCACTCTGCTCCGATGTCAGTTTCCTGACAGCCACTTCTTGAAACAATCCATCTTGTCCACAATTTGCAATGTTTGAAACAAAAACAACATTCTAGGCAATACATTCATTTTTATAGCTGCAATTCGACCCAACAAAGAAAGCTTCAAATTTGACCAAATTTCTAAATCTTTTTTCTCTTCCGTCCAACATTTCTCATAATTATCTTTAAATAGATTCCCATTTTTAGCTGTCATATTAATCTCCAGGTATTTCACTTTTTTAACCACAGTCAAACCTGTTTCATTCTGAAACCTCTCTCTTTCAATCAATGTTAAATTTTTCTCTAAAACCTTAGTTTTTAACTTGTTCAATTTAAATCCTGCCACTTGACCAAATTCTTGAATTAGTTCCAGAACCCTTTTAGTACTAGATTCTGGCTCCTGTAATGTCAATACTAAGTTATCTGCAAATGCCCTAAATTTGGTACTGTTTTGCTCCGACCTGTATACCTTTCACCAACTGGTCCCTTCTGATCATATTCAGCAAGACTTCCGAGACCAGGGAAAAGAGTCGGCGGAAGAAGATTGGAAGAAATTTAAAGGCTACTTACAGAAGTATTATAAAATTAATGAATGTTAGAATGATGTTGGATAGAAATTAAGGGGTTTCCAGCTGTAATGCTTAAGAGATATGAAAAAAAGGTTTAGAAATAAGTAAAATTAATGGTGAGAATTTGCTGAACTAATAATTTGAATTGGAATACAAAAAAGGGAAGTATGAGGAGGTCTGGGAAACAAGTTAATGGAAAATAAGTAATGGAAATTTTGTGAGTTTTTAAATTATTTTTATTTTTGTACTTTTGTTTTTTTGTTTTTTCCCCTTTTTTCCTTTTTGATTTTACTGTATTAATATTGAAAATCCTAATAAATATCTTTAAAAAAACAAAACAAAGAGGGGAGGTGTGAGGAGGTCAAGGAAATAAGTTAAAGAAAGAAAATTATGCAAAGGTTTGACTTGTTTTTTTTCTCTTTGATTGTATGTATATCTAATTATTTTTCTTTTTTTCTCCTTTTTATCTGTTTTTGTTTTTTATTTTTTTTCTTGGATGTGACTTATTTTTATGTATTGATTTATTTTTTCTTTGTTTCTTTTTGTAACCTTTAAAACTTGAATAAATATTATTTTTTTAAAAAAAATGAAAACCACATGTGGAGTACCACTTATTTGCACAGAGACAAATACCCATAATTAAAATGCAGAATAAAATAAGCACCCATAATTAACATGTACAGCAAAGCAATCCTATTGAAACAACACCGCAATTTACAGGAAGGAAACAACATAGCATTGTGTAGCAGATCATATTTCTGCTGTCTCAGAGGAGGACATTTCCCTTTTTCTTTTAGGATCCAGTGTGCTTTGAAGATGTTGCTGTTCGTTTCACAGATGAGGAGTGGGAGTTGCTGGATCCTGACCAGAGAGCTCTCCATAAGGACGTCATGGAGGAGAATCGTGGGATCGTGGCCTCTCTTGGTAAGGCTCCCTGTGAGATTGTCGTATCTGCCTGGAAATTCAAAAAATACATCTATGGACCAACCTCATATTTTCACAGAGCTCAATAGTGGCCCCTATAACACCTGGGAACCTAACACCCCCACGATAAACAGTAAATTACAGTTTTTTCTTTGAACAATCTTCCTCAAATTATTCCTTTTTTTACCACAATTGGGCTGGTCTCAACTGCCCAGGCCATCTTAAATGTCAGCTTCAGAATTGTTAGGAAAGATAAGTAGCTTCAGGTTTTCTGTTTTTGTTTTCTACCTCTGTCAATCTTGGGTTGACCAAAGAGACGACTGACATTGGAGATGGAGGGGATGCCATGACTGGGCCAAACAAAATTCATCCCAGAGAAGAAGAGCTAGGCTTATTGAATTTCAGGTAGAAGTAGCAGTGTTAGTGGTGATGATGATGATACAGTGGTACCTCGGTTTACAAACTTAATCTTTTCCGGAAGAGGACTGTTCTTAAATCAAGATACCACTGTAGTAATAATAAGAATTTTTATTTTTACCCAGCCCATCTGGCTGGGTTGCCCCAGCCACTCTGGACGGCTTCCAACACATATATAAACATGAAGCATAAATAATAATAATCTGATCCCATATAAAAAGAACATTAACTTTAAAATGAACAGCTTATACTAGTGGCCAAAATTGTGGAAACCTTTTGTGAAAAGTGTATTTCTGAGGTTTGATGGCTCATAACACCACTTTTGTGTGGAGTAATACCATAAAATTATATATCAATGCAAAGATAATTTAATGAAGAATGTAATGAAAGAACTTTTATGAAGGAGTATTTATTAGAAACAGCAGTCCTAACCATTGGAAACCTTTAGCTTTAATTACGGCCTTACAACACCTTCCCATGATATGAACCAAGTTTTTAGTTCTTCAGCTGTGAGAATGTGAAACCAAGATTAAATTATTGCCTCTGTTAATTGGACTTTATTGCTGGGTTGCTTCTGACTAACAAGTTTATTTAGTCGGTTCCATAGATTTCCGATTGGGTTAAAGTTTGGGCTATTCCCAGGCCATTCCAGCAGTGAAATATCATTATCTTGAAAGCACCTTTTGCACACAGCAGCAACACGACATAGAGCTGAATCCTGTTGAAATAATACATAAAAATAAAATTATTATTAGGTCTCAAGCCTTTGACTTAAGGAGGAGTGTTGGGATTCGCAGGATGATGAGTAAGTCTGTAGGCTTCAACAGGCTGATGCAATACTCTGTGAAGTGCTGGGTCAGAGTGACTCAGCAGGAATGTGATTGGCTGTCACCTGTTTTAAAAGGAAAGCCTGTTCAACAGTAAGTGTGGTGGTTGTGCTGTGGTGTGGTGATGCTGTGGTGGAGAGTATTCGTTTGCCTTAAGGAGCAGGTACTCTGTATGGACTGTTTTTGTAAATACCTGTATATAGCTCATATAAAAAAGACTGCACTGGAAAAACCTGGGACTCTGAGCGTTTCTGCTAAAAGCGCCGCGAGGAATTCGCGACAAGATCACCTGCGGAACACTTCAGTTTGGGCTCAAGTATTTTGTTTATGCATTTTGGAGCATTTATATTCCCATTAATGATGCAAATTCTGCCCACACCTTTTGCTGCCATAGAACCCCAGATTATCACACTATCTGGGTGTTTCACGGTCAGTGTAATGCAAATAGGATGTAAATCTTATCTGAGTCTTCTCCTCGGGTATTTCATGCCATCACTACCTAGCAAGGAGATTTGGGTCTCATTGCTCCAAATAACACTGTTCCATTGTTCTGCTGCCCAGTTAACATGGGTTTAATCTTTTCAACCTTTGCTTGAGAGATAACAATGGCTTTTTCTTAGAATTCTAACATTTAGACCAGTCCTTGCACTCAACTTCACATTGCATTGCACCATGTCATCTTGTATCCATCCAGATGATATTCTTCTGTCATGTAGGGACAGTCTCTTCATTCTTCAATCATCACTTGCCTTTGTGCACCTTTTCCTGCCTTTACCACTCTGATTTTGTAGTGACTGAGTCTCTTTATACCTCTTCAAAAATATAGAAAGGCCAGCTTTGGTGTAGTTTTTCCCAATCTTTCATCTAATTTCTTCATAACTGTAGCCTTGTTCACTTAATAGTACAATTCTACATCACTTTCTGGGTGATTAGTCAACTCTTTGTGCCATTTCTTTAATTTGATTATGTTTTTCAACCTCACTAAATGACCAACTTGATAGCAATCACATAAGACACTGACAAAAGTCAACCAAAGCAAGTTGTGCTTCCTTTTTCTGGTTATTTGGCTATAAGGTTTGATAAAATATAGGTAATTGAACAAACTTTGTTGGATTGCATTCTTGATTACATTATTGATCAAATTATCTTTCCATTGATATATAAATTTATAATATTACTCCAAAAGAAGAACTACACTTTTTTCCAAAAGTCTTCCACAATTTTAACCAATACTTTATATCAAACAAAGCAACATTCAACAACTCATCAGAATCTCATAATAAATATGTTGGTTAATGACAAGCAACACAGTTAATGAACACATACCCAACTCCCTTCAGTTCTTCTCTATTTGTACCTAAGGCTCTAATCCCTTTTGTCTCCATTGCAGATTGTGATGAATCAGAAATTGAGAACAAAGGTGACCACGATAAAATCCCCAGGGAGGAGAAGCCACGTAAAAATTTGGAGTGTGGAGAGAGCTGCAGTCAAAACTCCCGTTCCACTTCCCATCAACGAAATATCATTGGAAAGAAAGTCTATCAGTGCATAGAATGTGGAAAGAGATTCACTCATAGCTCCTCTCTCAGTTCCCATCACAGAATTCATACAGGGGAGAAACCGTATCAGTGTGTGGAATGTGGAAAAAGCTTCAGGCAGAGCGCCAATCTCACTTCCCATCAAAGAATTCATACAGGGGAGAAACCCTATCAGTGTGTGGAATGTGGAAAGAGCTTCAGTACGAACTCCAATCTCAGTTCCCATCACAGAATTCATACAGGGGAGAAACCCTATCAGTGTGTGGAATGTGGAAAAAGCTTCAGGCATAGCACCAATCTCACTTTCCATCAAAGAATCCATACAGGGGAGAAACCCTATCAGTGTGTGGAATGTGGAAAGAGCTTCACTCAAAGCTCCTCTCTCACTTCCCATCAAAGAATTCATACAGGGGAGAAACCCTATCAGTGTGTGGAATGTGGAAAGAGCTTCACTAATAGCTCCTCTCTCACTTTCCATCAAAGAATTCATACAGGTGAGAAACTCTATCAGTGTGTGGAATGTGGAAAGAGCTTCACTTATAGCTCCTCTCTCACTTCCCATCAAAGAATTCATACAGGGGAAAAACCCTATCGGTGTGTGGAATGTGGAAAAAGCTTCAGTCAGAGCGCCAATCTCACTTTCCATAAAAAAATTCATACAGGGGAGAAACCCTATCAGTGTGTGGAATGTGGAAAGAGCTTCAGTCAGAGCTCCGATCTCACTTCCCATCACAGAATTCATACAGGGGAGAAACCCTATAAGTGTATGGAATGTGGAAAGAGCTTCAGGAAGAGCTCCAATCTCACTTCCCATCACAGAATTCATACAGGGGAGAAACCCTATAAGTGTATGGAATGTGGAAAAAGCTTCAGTCAGAGCACCAATCTCACTTTCCATCAAAAAATTCATACAGGGGAGAAACCGTATCAGTGTGTGGAATGTGAAAAGAGCTTCAGTACAAGCTCCTCTCTCAATTCCCATCAAAGAATTCATACAGGGGAGAAACCCTATCAGTGTGCAGAATGTGGAAAGAGCTTCACTGTTACCTCTAAACTCACTTCCCATCAAAGAATCCATACAAAGATTGGAAAAAACATTATACAGCTTTAGGAGCCTGGCAAATCCACACCGTTTTAACCAGGCCTTTTTCTTAATGACATCTAATGCTATTTTAACATGTGATGTTTTGTGTTTTTATGTTGTGTTTTTATGTTCTAAGCCTCCTGAGACCTGTGGGGTAGGGAATACAGCCACTCTTAAATTCCTAGGGGTCTTTGCGCCCCCCATAAAATATTTGAGGAGGCCACCCCCCAGGTTTTCTTTGTGTGTTTTTTTCAAATGCAACCTTTTTTTCTTTCGCAACTTGCCATACAATTTCGCTTTCAATTTTCCCTTTTAAGAAATTTTAAAAACCGCACAAAGGTCATGAGAAAAACAAAATACAAACGTGGACAGGTCCAATCTTTGTGGGCCAAACACCAAAGTTGCTTTAAAGGAGGGTTTCCCAAACTTGGGTCCCAAGCAGCTCCCGGGACTACAGTTTCCATCATCCCTCCCCATTGGTCCTGCTAGCGAGGGATGATGGGAGTTGTAGTCCAAAAACAGCTGGAGACCCATGTTTGCTTTAAAGGGAAAGTAGGCTGGCCCTGTGACACCCTCTGCTGGCTAATTGGAATTTATAGATCTCAAAACTGTGCCCCCCCCAATTCGCAAGGAAACCCGATTACGGGCTCCAGAGCGAAGCAGGGCGAGTGGCGCGGTGCTGTGAGTCAACTGCTTCTTTCACGGAGCGAAGCCGCACAGCCGTTGCCGGAGAGCGCTGACTTTTTCCTGTGACAATTTGACTACAAAAGCAACTACCCGTGAGTAGGATAAATTGAAAAAAGGAAGGGAAAAAAAGGTTTAATTTGGCACCGATGTGGGGAGGCATAAACAGGAAGTCCGCCTTCCGCTTTTTGTAAATAGACTAAAGCAAAAAAGCTGTAAGCTAAGGCCTTGGGAAAGTTGATCGGAAAGGACCAAAATTTCAACATCAAAATAAGTGAACTCCCCCCTTGATTGCAGGAGAGGAGGGGGGAGAGGCTTGGACTATATTTGCCTGCAAGAGAGAGGGAAGGAAATAAAAATCTACTGCTCAAAACCCGGGAACAGGCTGCCAATGGACAATAAGACTGCCGCATTGTGAAATGCACTGTTCGTGAATAGAGTACTTTTTGACAGCTAGCTCTGCAAGGGAGATACATTGTTTCTGGCTGTCTCCTTCTGATCTTAGAAAGAAGGGGAAGTAACTGAAAAGTAACTGAAATTGAAACTGTCTTTTATTTTGTGAAATGGGGGTTTAAAAAGTGCTACTTTTTAATGCAACAAATACAGACTGCTACTGTGTCCCCCTAGAGGAAGTTTCTGAAATTGTTACAACAATTGGGCCAGGGGAATTTTCCACTTCAAAACAAACTGTGGTCGTGAGATTGACCTTGGGTATTCAGCTAAAGTGTTATGGCAGATGGAAAATAAAAAGTAGACTCTCTCCAAGACAAAACAACGAGGTCTGGGAAATCTTGGCAGCGAAGAGCATCAACATCTGGCCCTTCTGCCTCATCTGCAGCTTCATCTATACAATCTAAGTCAAAAGGTATGTCATCTGAAGAAGCTTTAGCACTTGCATTAGGTAAGATAAATGAATCACTGGAAAAATTAAGTAAACAAGTGGTTGAAGCATCAACTAAAATTGATCAAAACACGATAAGCATCAATAATTTGGGACAAAAGGTGAATACTAATACAGAAACTATTGAGAAATTGCTACAGGAATCTACTCTGACTCGACAGACCGCTGAAGAAGCTAAGAAAAAAGCAGCTGCCGTAGAGGAGAAGTTACCAGACATACAGAGGCAACTTGAGGATCACAGGTCTATGCTTTCTATGATTGAACTTAAGGAGAAACAAACGAACTTGAGGATCAGAGCTGTGCCTGAAGTAGAGAAGGACAGTCTGTCAGACTTTCTTATGCAGGAATTTGCAGACTTCTGGGATTTGGATTTGGAGAAAGAAGGATTTAAGATAGTGAGTGCTTTTAGACTTGGAAGAGGGGGGAAGAAGAACAGGGTGAGAGACTTTCTGATTACCCTCTGAACAAAAGAGGAGAGAGACAAAATTTTGAGCCTGCACTTTCAGAAGATCTTGGAAATACATCAGTCAAGAGTGGAAATATTTAAAGATATTCCGAAACATCTTTTGGACCTTAGGTCCAATTATGGAGATTTGGTTGCTCTGCTGAGAAGGAATAGAATTATTTTTAGGTGGGAATTTCCTCAAGGTCTATCTTTTAGCTTCAAAGGAAGAAAGATAAAAATAAGATCAGTGGACGACAAAGAAATTTTTTTGAAAGATCATGGAGAAGATTTGCAGAAAGAATCTGGAGAAGAGCCAAGAGCATTGGACAGAGAACCAACAGACAGAGGACCAGAACAAAAGCATTGGACAGAGAGAGATTACCAAGAAGGCCCCAAAAACCTTGAGAGATTATTTTGAGATAAATATGAACACTACTGTTGAAAAAAGAGTAATCTGGGACACAAGTAAAGCGGTCATGAGAGGGTTTCTGATTCAACAGAATGCAATAAAAAAGAGAACTCAAAATGGAAAAAAAGGAAAAAATTCTGGAGAAAATAAAGGAAGGTGAGAAGAAATTGAGAGCGAAACCAAAGTCGCAAGAGATTCTGAGAGAAATAAAGTTACTTCAAGTACAATATATGAAAATGATGAATCAGGAAATAGAATGGAAAATTAAACTGATGAGACAAAAGACATTTGAGTCGGCTAATAAATGTGGGAAACTGCTGGCCTGGCAAATGAAAAAAGACAAAAACTTAACACTATTACAAATTTGGAAGTGGAAGGAAAGATAAGATAAGATAAGATAAATTTATTGTCATTGTCCGTATATACACAGTATACACAACAACGAAAATCAAACACCCACCCAAAGACCGGGTTCACATACACATTTGCACGTATCTCCAACACTCTCATCCTATTCAGACATAATCTATAAAACATAACATAATCCAGAATATAACATAACCTATTAAAGGCATAACATAACCTAAAACCTATCTCATTCCTTCCTACTCCCTGCTTGCTATTCCTTGCAACTGGCCCTAAGATCATTATTTAGTGCAATCAGAGCTCTTGGATAGAAACTATTCAGAAGGCGTGTGGTTCGTGTTTTCATTGTCCTATATCTTCTGCCCGAAGGCAACAGTTCAAAGAAGTTATGAGCAGGATGGGTGGGATCTCTCAGGATATTGTGTGACTTCTTCAAAGTGCGAGACGTGAAGATCTCATCCAGGGTTGGTAGTTGGAGCCCAATAACATTCTGGGCAATTTTAATTATTCTCTGTAAAGCTTTTTTATCCGTTTCAGAGCTGCTCCCATACCACGATAATATACTATAGGTTAAGACACTCTCGATGGTACTGTGATAATAGGACAGAAGTAGGTGCTGAGATAGATTCAGTCCCCTGAGCATTCTCAGGAAATACAACCTCCCCTGCACCTTCCTCACAACCATATTAATATTTGCAGTCCATGAGAGATCCTCAGAGATATAAATGCCCAGGTATTTAAAACTACCAACCCTCTCCACCTCCTCGCCATTTATGTGCAATGGTAAAAATACACTTTTCTTTCTCCTAAAGTCAATTATGAGTTCTTTGGTTTTTTTGGTGTTAAGCATAAGATTGTTTTCTTTACACCATTGAATTAACCCCTGTACTTCTTTCCTATAAGCAGTCTCATCGTTCTCACTAATGAGCCCCACCACTGTTGTATCATCCGCAAATTTGATGATTGTGTTGGACTTATACAGTGGGGTGCAATCAAATGTGTACAGGGAATAGAGAAAGGGACTTAGCACGCATCCCTGAGGGGCTCCTGTGCTTAATACTAGAGTAGAAGAATAGTAAGGTCCCATTCTCACTGTCTGCGGCCTATCAGTCAGGAAATTCCTTACCCACAGACAGATCTTCTGATGTATACCCAAATTGGTCATTTTAAGAAATAACCTGTCTGGCAGAATTGTATTGAAGGCAGAACTGTAGTCCACAAACAACAGCCTTGCGTAGGTTCCCTGTCGTTCTAGATGACTCAGTACAGTATGGACAGCGATGGAAATAGCATCATCAGTAGATCTGTTTCTTCTGTATGCAAACTGGAACGGGTCTAGAGTGGATGGAAGACCAGCCTTAATATGATCTAGCACCAATCTCTCAAAACATTTCATAACGACAGATGTTAGGGCTATTGGTCTATAGTCATTGAGAGATACCACCACTGACTGCTTGGGGACTGGCACTATAATCGATGTCTTCAGGCAGGTAGGGACAGAACCCTGCAACAGGGATAGGTTAAAAATGTCCGTAAATACACCAGCTAATTCTGCAGCGCAGTCCCTAATAACCCGTCCCATGATTCCATCCGGTCCAGCTGCCTTCCTAATGTTAATGCTCCGAAAGGCACGTTGTACGTCAGAGGTCTGTAATAAAAATGGTTGTCTATCAGTAGTAGTTTCTGATGATGTGCTGGTAGCCAATGCTGTAGTGACGGTAGTTCCAGTTCCCACCTCAAAGCGACTAAAAAATTGATTCAGTTGATCAGCCAGGTGTGCACTGCTGCTAGCCTGTTCGTTTTTAATATTTTGCCCTGTAATTTGTTGCAGGCCTTGCCATACTCGACGAGGGTCGGAGCTCTCAAAATGTTTTTCGATCCTCCGGCAGTACATAACTTTGGCGTTCCTAATGCCCTTTTTCAATTTGGCTCTGGCTTCTCTATACTGTTGCGCATCACCAGAGTGAAAAGCAGCATTTCTTGCCTTTAACAGAAGATACACGTCCCTGTTTAGCCAGGGCTTGTTGTTAGGGAACACCCGTATTTGTTTGGTGGTAGTGACAACATCAATGCAGCTTTTAACGTAGAACAGTACTGTTGAAGCGTATGTGTCCACATTATTCTCCACAAAAAGCGACCACTCGGTGCTCCGAAAGCAATCTTGAAGTTGCTCAGATGCACCTACTGGCCACACTCGTATCTCTCTAGTTGATGGTCTAATTCTGCGTACGAGAGGTCTATATGATGGTATCATAAGTAAAGATATGTGGTCTGACTGCCCCAAATTGGGCAAGGGCTTGGTCTTGTATCCATGCATGATGTTACTATATACTCGGTCCAGGGTATTTCCCCCCCTAGTGGGACAATCAACATACTGGTGGAACTTAGGGAGCACAGTCCTTAAATCGGCTCGGTTAAAATCACCAGCAACCACAAATGCTCCATCCGGGTGGGCCCGCTGCTGTCTGCTAATAGCAGTTAGCAGGTGGCCCATAGCTGTAGTAGTGTTTGCATCGGGAGGTATATACACCGCTGTTATAACAACATTAAACTCACGTGGCAAATAAAAAGGGCGGCACTTCACCACTAGGTACTCCAAGTCAGGAGAGCAATGCGTGTCCATTTGTTTAATGTCCGAGCTCCAGTTGTTGTTTATATAAACGCAAATTCCTCCTCCTCTGCTCTTCCCGGATTCGGCGGTTCTATCCGCTCTAATTACTGAGCGTCCTTCTAGCTGCAGAAGTCCCTGTGGAAAGGAGGGATCCAGCCACGTCTCT